TCTCTCTCTCTATATATATATATATATATATATATATATATATATATATATGCATTACAATTCACATTATACATATAGAGCACATTTTTCATATCTCAGGTGGTATATAAAGTATATTCATATCAATTTGTGTCTTCATATATGTACTTTGGGATAATGATGTTCATCACATTCCATCATCATTTCTAACACTCTGCTCCCTCCTTTCCCCTTCCAACCTGGTGCCCTATCTAGAGTTCATTTATTCTTCCCATGCTCCCTCTCCCTACCCCACTATAAATCACATTCCTTATATCAGAGAAAATATTCAGCATTTGTTTTTTTGGTATTGGCTAATTTCACTTAGCACTATCTTCTCCAGTGCCACCCATTTACCTGCAAATGCCATGATTTTATTCACTTTTATTGCTGATTAATATTCCATTGTGTATATATGTCACATTTCTTTAATCCACTCATCTACTGAAGGGCATCTAGGTTGGTTCTACAGTTTAGCTATTGTGAATTGTGCTGTTATAAACACTGATGTGGCCGTGTCCCTGTAGTATGCTGTTTTTAAGTCCTTTGGGTATAGACTGAGGAGAGGGAGAGCTGGGTCAAATGGTGGTTCCATTCCTAATTTTCCAAGGAATCTCCATACAGCTTAGGCTCTTGTTTTTAAAAAATATTTTTAGTTGTAGCCAGGCACAATGGTGCATGCCTGTAATCCCAGCAGTGTGAAAAGAAAGAAGAAGAAAGAAGGAGGATAGGAGGGGACAGAGAATTGGGGGTAAGAGAAATAGAGGAAATAAAAACATTTTTTTGATGGTCCACTCATGTCAGAAATTATATTTTTTGTGTGTGTTAATCACTGCCCGCTCTGAAATCCTACAAAAGATTGTTTTTCAAATCAGAACTGGATAAGTTTCATGTGCATGAATGCTCTGCACCAGAGAGGTGGCTTGTAGAAGTTCTCAAAAAGTGACTCTCAGGCTGGGGTTAACAGGAAAGAGCTACTCCTCTTTAGCCATCTTGACCTAAGGAGCAAGTGTGTGCTGGAATTTTAACAAGTGGTTAGTTGTGAGATTATTAACTCATGTAGGTCATTAGAACCTGGTTAATTCCTGTGGATCATTTATGCCATTGTATGCTGACCTCTGCCCCAAAGGCCACAGCTGTGGATCCATTTGTGAGTAAAGTGGACAGTGATGCATTATACACTTGCGTGTTCACGTTTAATCCTACCAAAATGACACCTTGAAACTAGAGCCTTCTGAAAGAGGGCTAACAAGAGGAAAATGGGAGTGAAAGCTGCCACAGTACTTGATTCACACATGAGTCACACTTAATACTTGTCAAAGGGGCTGGAGGTGTGGCTCGATGATGCACACCTGCTTAGGATGTGCAAGGTCCAGGGTGCAAGTCCTAGCACCCAAATAAAACCAAACAACAAAATAAAACAGAAACCTTTTCAGCAGAGGAGGATCCTTCTGTGGATTTCTGATCACATGAGACATCACCCAGCCTTGAAGGATGAAGACTTTCCACCACTGGCACAGAGCAGACCTGAGTATCTGCAGCTTCTTTATAGTCTCTTGTAGAGACTAAAAACAAGAGATAGCTCAAAAAGCACAGGGAATAGGAAGTAACAGGAACACCTGTGTTCTCGAACTTTCTAAATTTTTAAGTTTTAGACTTTTAATCCAGATAGTTTTTTGAAAGATGAGAACTATCACTAGTTCCATCCCTTCTCCTAATTCCTTCAATCAAAATAATTTTTCCCAAAATGACTTCAGTGTTTGTGGATATCATAAATCAATGTTTGTGGTTAAGTGTCATGGTCTGAAGAAAATACTGAGGCAGGCAGGAGTCATAGAGCTGAAGGCATGGGCTGGACAAATCTCCATAAATCACAAACCATTAGGCAAAGAGAGGAATGATCTTAAAGCTAAACTACTTTCTTTCTTCCCAGAATGAGTGTTTGTTATATCCGTTAAAACCATCTACCAAGGTTATGCATGGTCCCCATGCCACCAACTGAGGTTCACAATCAGGAGGACCCATACCAGGCTGGGTGTGGTGGCATACACCTGTAATTCCAGCTGCTTGGGAGGCTGAGGCAGGAAGATTGTGAGTTCAAAGACAGCCTCAGCAAAAAGTAAGGCCCTAAGCAACTCAGTGAGACCCTGTCTCTAAACAAAATACAAATGAGGGATGGGGATGTGACTCAGTGGTCAAGTGCTCCTGAATTAAATCCCAGTACCCCCTTCCAAAAAAAGAGGATCCATACCTGTAATCCCAGTGACTATGGAGGCTGAGGCAGGAGGATCACAATTTCAAAGCCAGCCTCAGCAACTTAGTGAGGTCCTCAGCAACTTAGAGAGAACTTGTATCAAAATAAAAAATAAGAAGTTCTATAGATATGGCTCAATGATTAAGCACCCCCTGTTCAAACCCGAGTAGCAAAAGAAAAACAAAAACAGACCTTTCTTAGATTCTGCAGGATCAAGAAGCATGCTATATGTCCTCAGGTTCCAGGGTTGGTGGTCTCAGCCCTGTGACCACCAGATGAGGAAGAAATCTGGCCTTGGGAATAAGCATGTCAGCGACACTTGGAAGGACACTTGACCTTTCTGAGAATCTCCCAGTTCTGTCTGGCCTTCAATTGTTATTTCTTTGGGAAATTTTCCTATATCTATCTACCAAGTTTGGTCATGAAAACCATTTGGGTAGAAACATACAACTCAGATATAAGAGACATTCACTGTCTGATAATATAGATAAAGTAACTGTTCCTGTCTGAGTCACATCTCTATACTAATTCAATTAACAGAACTGTTAAGTGCCTAGCACAAGCCACATACTCTATGATTTCATTCTGTCTCTCTCAGTCTCTCTTTATTCTGAAGAGTGCACCTCTTTGGTCTCTAAGCCCAAGCCCTCCCAACACTCAGACCAAAGAATCCATAGGATATAGCTGGAGAGTCACTCCACAAGTATGCATTGAGCATGTACTGTGGACAGGCTGCCATAGCAAGTAGCTGAGTCTCATCTCAGTCACAATGTAAAAGGAGGAACACAAAATCCAGGACTGACCTCTGACTGCGAGAAAATCTCTGCCTCTGTGAGGCACCAAGAAGTGACTTCCTTCACTGGGGAGTCCTATAAATGATGCTTAAGATGGTAACAGCTTAGACAAATTCAGGACCTTGAATATAACAGCTCCATGGGAAGTATAGGACAAAAAGCAAATAAGCAAAGACATTTTTAATGTAAGTTTACTAATGTCTTCCAAGTAATAATTAAGGTAAATTCTTGACTTTCCTTCTGAACTCACTTTAAAACTTTCCCACTCATTTGTATATATAATCATTAGAAAAATATGAAGCTATTTGAAGCAGTTGAATCACACTCAAAACTCAGGTTCAATCATTTTAATAGTCATCTTCAGAATAAGAAAATAAATTGTGGTGAGCCGTTCCTGCGGACTGTGGTCGCCATTACATGATGGCGCTGGCTCCGTTGTGGTCTGTGAAGGACAACTCCATATCAAAGAGA